GAGGTAGAGAGTTAATTTAGTGCTACCCGTAGTATTCAGTCGGAAAGTGGCAACGTCGATGAACTTTACAAAGATTTCCCAAAAGCCGTCATTCCTCGCCTTAAGACGTAGTTTGGGTCAGAAAGAGAATGGCCAAATTTCTTTGAGTTACGGAGAAGACCTTAGCTCTTAGAATGAAAAGTGGTCACTGAAAGAAGAAGTACTTGCAACTCCGTACTGCATCATCATCACCATGTCTGCTGTCAAATTGAACGGAGAAATTTCTAAGTGTTTCCCTGCTGACCTATAGAATTTACCAGGAACATGTGCTTTCCGCTGTGTTATTCAACAATGTCCATTTTATTCTCTGAAAGAGTGTGAAACAAAGACAAAGGTATCATTCTCTAGGGAAGGTGTAGTTCATGGTCTCCAGTTAAATATCTTGCTGACCTGGAGCACGCAGATGATATTTTCCTTGTGAGCAGTACAAAAAGCGGTCTCTGTTACCTACTGGATTCTGTATGCAACGCAGATGCGAAATCTGGCTTCTTCCGTAACGCCCGGAAGTCAAACGTTCAGAGCAACCAGTTTGGCAGACTGCTGTACAAGTGTAACAGGAATGTCAGCCCTTCAGGAGATCACCAATTTAGATTTCTCAGCTCCATTTTCTCTAGCGATGGCACTATTCCGTCAGAGTTCAATAGGAGGTTAGTCCTAGCTTCGAGTGCTTTTGGAAACCTGACTAATCTTTCGGTTGAGAAAGGAGTTAGTCTTCCAACCAAAATCCGCCTCTACCTTTGACCGGTCACTGTTGTTATACGGCATGGCGACAGTTGTTTTAACGAAGGAGCAAGAACGGCGGTTGAACTGCTACAGTAGGGTTGACTTCGACGCATGAAGAAAGTTAAAGACAAGACCACCTAAGGAATGACTCTATTCTATTCCTGTGACTTCTGTACATGTGAATATTAGAAAAATATGATTGGCTCTGTTAGATAATCTGGTTGAGTATAAACCGTTTATTCCAGCCCTTGAGTTTCTCGTGTTGTAGCCGAAACACGGCAGACTTCGATCAGGAGGCCAGAATGCAACATGGAAGAACGAGGTAGAAGCAGGTTTGCTTTAGGAGAGAAATATTCCCTCTGTGACGCAGGCTTCGGTGCCTTCCTGCAAAGGTGTTGAAAAGCTGTCAGTATAGCGGACGTCACAAACCGGAGACGTTCTGTTTATGCAAACGATTCAAAGTGGCGATCTCAAACAATTAAGCAAACACAAACATGATGTTTGATATACTGACTATGCGCATGTCGCTGGTGATTATTATGATGATGTTTATGAAGATCATGATCATACTTATCATTGTACACACCATTTTCATATTTACCGTCATTGTTGTTTCCGTCATCATTACCAGTCCATGTGAAAGTGTATGGGTAATGGAATTTTAATATTCCACTTGAAAACTGAATAAGCATTTTCTACTTCAATTCTAATACAAGTACGATAATGATAATACAAGTACCAATTTAAAATGAGGTTTGCTTGCTCATTTTAGGCAAACGAATCGCGTGGCAGCGTCGATGGAATTTTGAAAATCAACTGGATGAAAAAGCACCTATCTTCGATTCCAGCAGTGGTGGTGTTGTTCGTTGACCTGGATTGGCAGCATCCGTCCTGGAACGAAAAGATTTTGGAATGTCGGTCGAAAGTGGAGTCCATTAGGTGAGTCCATTGAGAACGACAGACCAGTGGTGGCTGTCATTTTGGTATTGAAGCTTGTATTTATGTTTTGCTTAATCCTTGATGCTTACCCTGTTACGAAAACAGTTTCTTTGACGTCATATTAACCTGGAAAAGTGCCTGTCTCGGCTATCTCGGCATAAAACAAATGTTAGGTTTATATAATGGCTTCAGCATTATTGCTCATATAATTAGAAAACATTAAAGATTGCTTATATTCCGCCAAAACCTTCTGTTGTTTAGGTATCTCAGTAATTGGAAGCGCCTGTACAGCACTCGAAGTAGATTTCGGATTGCATTTCCCTGTCATATTGAATCCGAGTTACTGCAGTTAGCCAACTGCCAACTCGTTGCCATTAAAACAGGCACATCTAAATTGTTCACTTGCTCATTTCTACATCTGCCATATTTCTAAGTGCTATGGTTGTCTGGCATGAGATAAGAATTACTCACATATTCAGTAGAAATGTTTCAAGAAAGTGCTGCTCAGTCTTATCGCAACTTCGTGGATAAGCCTTGTGCATTAGTCATAATCTCTTTGGTTGGAGACAGATGCGATCTGTGCATTTCCTTTGGACTTATTCTGTGATGGTTTGCTGTTACAGTGTTTTTCTCTTTTGCAGAATCATCTTAACCGCATATCGATTTATTTCAATCACCAGTCACTGAAGCCTCGTTTGTAGACCGTTAAGAGTACCTGAGTTGTTTTCGATATATGAATAACATGGACTTTTTATCCTTCCGTCCACTCGCATTACAAAACAGCATAGAGGACATGTCATATCATATGTTCTTCTTATAATCTCCAAGCTTCTGTTACTTTCTTGTGCTCCAAAACCATTTAGATTTGAGGAAGCGGAAGAATACTCCCTTTGGAAGACTAAATAATCTGTCAGATCAGTCTGCTTAATTGCAAATATGCCATGATATTTCTTGTCATTTTACTTATGACGCATCGGTTATGCGTTATCACGTTGCCCATGCCACGTACGCTTTGGAATAACTTATCAAAGTTCTTATCAAAGTTCATTTTTTGTATAGTCTCAGGGAACCTTGTTTGCAGTCTAAAGGTTCGTCCCACTTGACCAGACTAGCTTGCTTAATTAAAATCGTTGTTGTCTATGCAATATACCTCGATTAAATATGTTATCAGGCGGTTCAAGGCGCATTGCAGCCATTAAGCATGACTATAAGGCTCAGAGACTTTGGCATCGTCATATTTGGAAAACCGAGTTTGCTCAACTTTTCGCAGGTTATCAACTTACTATTTCTTTGTTTATTGCATTACACATTGCACACATGGCGAGATGAATTCTTTACTAGTAGATTTGGCGTTCAGCGATGAAAATATAGGCCAGGCTTTGATTCGAATCTACACTAATTGTATGTGGGTTGCATTACTTCGTTCTTAACACATTATTATATGGGTATTTCATTATTCGTGGATTAATTCTGTGATTTTTTGAAATATATGATGCCTACAGTGCAGAGCTTGGAAGTGACGTATAGAGCGTTCTGGAAGTAAACGCTTTACCTTTTTGTTTAGGGAATGCATTGCTAGCCGCAGTTCGATTCTGGCTTTGGTTTTGATTCAGTCGGTCCCGCCAATTCCTTCAGGTTTGTGAGTACCTCATTGTCTTTATTTGGTGACGGCAAATAATTTTCACATTTCTTTTAGATAATATAGCTGCACAGAGAGCAGCGGAATTGTGTTCCGCATGTCAGTTGTCCCCTCAAAGGCTATTCGTCTTACCACAAACTGATCGACTTTTTGGTTTTATACTCAGGCGAGTTGCGAATGGCTGTGATATATTAGCGTCATTCACTCCCGTAGATTATTTATTAACGATAAATGTTATCTTCTGTTTTGATGTACCATGACATGAGTGCGCAAGTTTTGCTCAGTAATTTTGCTGCAAACATCTCGGAATTGGACCCTACAAGTTCTGTGGGAATGTTATTTTCATTTCTGTTCCTGATGTCATCCATTAAGTGCCCTGCTTCGTCTGTTTTGTCAATGAATCCATTGTTTCTGTTTGGTAGGGCGATATAGTAAAATGATTTTATCGTCCTTTCTTCAGGAATTATCACGAATGAAGTCTGCAGTGCTCATGTTCAGGTTTGTAATCAAAGTACCCTCATAGACGGAAATGTCTTTAAGTCATTCAAAGCCGTGTCAATATCGCTTGCAAGATTTTTGCACCACTGCAAAAATAGTTGATGCCTTATTAATGAATCCGTACGAACGATGACGACATTTATTCCTTTCTTCCAGGTTTTTAGTTAGTACAAGATAAACATGAAAGGTTGAGTTGATCGCTCGTTAAGAAGCACCCGTTAACAAGTATTTTCTTCAGTGACAGTAGTTGGCTTGCCTTTGCGACTGTTTTTCTGGCCATCTACTGCTGAACTTGCTGTTCAGATTCAGATTTAATAGGTTGTATGTAATCATCAAGCGGGACCTGTTTTTCGTAGGAGTTTTGTCAGGGAAAAATGAGACATGAAAGAAATCATCACCTATATACGAACCAGGCACGACAAATTACGTCGACCTCCAATGCAGTGAATCTCTGACTAGCTCCTCGTTCACGTAGATTTACCATTTAGTGGGATTTTTAAAATTCTAGACCATTGGATACTGACTTTCGGTGAGCGTCGATTGTGGCCAGCAGCCTGACGAACATGCTGCTCACTCCGACCAGTACCGATTGAGGAAAATTTAGTTTTTTTTCAACATTTATAATGCTAAACCAAACTTGGCAGTACTGAGCATTTATTGAAAGTACCCATTTTAACGTATAGGAAAGCGTAAGTTTATAATTGTATTTGTGTTTTATATTTCTGCGGTTTTGCAGCTTCAGCCTTGTGTCATAGAACACATTCGGCTATGCTCTTTCTCTTAATATCTTTGTTTTTGCGTTAGGCTCAAGCACGCTTTTTGTGAACTCGCGCAGACTTACTATCAGGTTCAAGTGAAAAGGATCAAATCAAAAAAAGAATCAACTAGCAGAAATACTTCAGAAGTATGTATGCTAATGATGTTTATTTGTGATTAATTAATTAAGTTTAATTTTTTTATTTTAGGATTAACCTATATTATTTATTTATTCGTAGTTGATAAGTTCTCAAGGTTAGGATGTGATACCATACGTTTTAGAGCGCATTTCTTCGTACGTCGTGTTTGTTTATTAATTAATTACCCCAGCCAATAGACGAGTAGGACTGTCTGTATTATAAGGCATTTATTAAGAAGAATCTTGTGAAATTTAAATAATCAGTTGGCAAAAAAATTTCGACTTCG